GCACTTTTCTCCCGAGAAGGCACCATATCGGTCATCCACGTCAACAGCCACAACCCAATCAAAGGGTTTTACCAAATCAGTAACGACAAAGCAGATGCCACTGCAAAAGGATTATGGACACTAAGAGATGCCCGCCAGCTACATGAGTCCCTCCACATTGGAGTTAAGGCGCTAGTTAAGAGATGTGGGATTTTGACCACCGACGTGAAACACATAGTAGCTACGTGTCCCCACTGTCAAAAAGCACCATTATGGTCCAGTGGAGTCAACCCCAGAGGTCTCAAAGCCTCTGAGGTGTGGCAGACGGATTTTATGCTCTGTCAGTTGCTGAGACCTCAAGCGTGGCTAGCGGTAACCGTAGACACATACAGTGGGGTGGTCGTAGCCACACAACACCTTAAGGCCGACTCCAAAGCAACCATCCAACATTGGCTGACAGCCATGGCGTGGCTGTCAGATCAAAACGGACAATGGTTCGAATTTTGTGTCCAAATCAGCCCAGGCATTCGCTCAGAAATGGGGTATTACTCTAATATACAGCATCCCGTATAATAGTACAGGACAAGCCATAGTCAAACGAGCGAATCAAACTCTGAAATCTAAGTTAGAGGTATTAGCAAAAACAGAAGGTTTTACCACCACTGTTCCCTCAGGAGACCAAGCACGCTTGCTAGCGACTGCTTTGTTAGCATTAAATCAATTCCCCAGGGGAGAGGAGGTGAATAGCCCCGTCCAAAAACATTGGGCCACTTGAGCGCTAGAAGAAGGCCCGTCAGTTATAGTTAGAAACGAGCTGGGAGAATGGGAACAAGGGTGGAAATTAGTTCTGACAGGGCGAGGGTATGTTGCAGTCAAAAAAGATGGCAGAGTCAAATGGTGTCCACTTAAGTCCATCAAACTGGACCTTCAGAATAAAACTAATGAAAACTGTGAGTTTCTGTTCACAGGACCGGATCATCGGACGCCCCCGTAATCCGTATACCCCGGTGACAAGAGAAGCCAACAAGTCGGCAAGTGTCCTGTCTAAGCCTGAGAGTTCCGCACTGGCAGAATCCAGACAACAGCGAAGCGGCCTCCGTGGGGGGGGGGGGCTGCGATGCCTTTGTGTGATCTTGATTCTGGGGCTTGTTACTACAGGTAAGACAGAATCAGATTACAATCACCATCAGCCATTCAAGCGGCTCCTGCGGGACACTGCAAGCGATCGAGTGATAAAGGAAAACATAACAGCGGGTGCTCCGACTTTTACAATTACAATTGGTGATTTATTCCCCATAGTTGGAGGATCTAAATCTAAATCATTATGGGGAACATATTGGTGCCCTAGTTCAAACCCAGGAAAGGGTTATTTTAACTATCCAGGATATTGGTTTTGTGGATATTGGGGGTGTGAGACCATTGTAACAAGTGATAGATGGAAACCAGAAAAAGAAGACGAATTCTTGCGAGAATGTGGGATTGGTTGTCACCTGGTGAGCAGTCTCTGAGGCCTTAAAGAGCCATGTGGGACCACAGTCAGAAACATGTGGTTTGCAAGACAGTGAGGGAGCTGTGGGCTCCTTTACTGATCTGACTGCTACGGCATCTGCCCTTCTGCTGCTACAGCCATTGAAGGCTTTTGCTGTTATGCCCCCTGCTGACCTGGACATGCCTTTTGACCCAGGCCCTATTGGACTTGAAGAGGAGATGGATGTTTTTCTTCAATTCAGGAAGAACAGGATACATAAGGCCCAAAGGCTGAGTTGCTTGACAACTTAAAGCAAGACATATTGTTCAAAAGGAATGGAAAATGGAGACTTGTTTGTAATCAAGAAAAGGAAAGGAAAATGGAGACTATTAAGTCATGGAACTTAAAGGATTGTTTGTTACTTTTTCTGATTGTACATATGTATAGGCATACTCGGGTTTAGTATGTAAAAGTAATGTTCTGTATATTTAGAATGTTTGATGTTTGTGTGCGTGTTGGTAGAGCATAGATTCCCCGCACACCCAGGGCTATTTACTTGCCTTTTATAAGTATTCTTTTATAAAGATTACTAAATTCAGATTGAATTGAGACTTCATTCATAACAACAGGGAATCATACAGCCTTAGAAACAAAGAATATCCTGGGAACTTTCCAGCTTATTCTCAAATAAAACAGGGAAAAACTGTGCCCTCTGCAGCCTTGCAGCACATGCTTGTATGGGCTGCTATGAATGACCCCTCTATTACAAATCAGACAGTTTATGATCCTGAAACATAGGACCAAATTGGGGCCAAGCTTTGGGACTCTATTAAAAACAACAAGGTTGCGGCTGGATTGCTTAGTCCCTGGTCAGCACCTGTCTGATCACCTGTTCCTGTTCCTTCACGTGGGGACAACTGAGGCTGCGACAAGGATACACCAAAACATCAGAAGAGACTTTATGTTCCTTGGAAAGATGCTGAAGGGATCAGCACAAGTGGTGCTCTCCTTAGTCCTCCCCATTGGAGACTGGGACCCAAGGAGGAGGCAGCATACAGACCAGGTGAATGACTGGCTGCGTAGCCAGTGCCATGTTCAGGATTTTGGGTTCTGTGATCTCAGGTGTGATTTTGAAAGACTGGACACAGTGACATATGATGGGGTGCACCTGACCAAGTGGTTGGTGATAACATAGTACTCCTGACAATGAAGCCATGAGGAATGTAAACAAGTTAGAAGGAAGCAGTGATTCTCCAATAGCTCTGGTGAGGCCACACCTCGAGTACTGTATTCATTTTTGGGTCCCAACACAACTGGTGGATAAGGAATTGGCTCAATGACCACACACAGGGAGTAGTGGTGAATGGCTCAACGTCCTCCTGGTGGAGGCCAGTGATGAGTGGTGTCCCTCAGGGGTCTGTCTTGGGCCCAGTGCTGTTTAATATCTTTATTAGCAACATAGACAATGGGATTGAGTGCATCCTCAGCAAGTTTGCAGATGACAGCAAGCTGAGTGGTGTAATTGATACTAAAGAATGCCATTCAAAGGGATCTGGACCAGTTTGCAGAAGTGGGCCCATAAGAACCTAAGGAGGTTCAACAAGTCCAATTGCAAGGTGCTGCACCTGACATGAGGCAATCCCAGACATGAGTACAGAGTGGGCAAAGAACTCATTGAGAATAGTCCTGGAGAGAAAGACCTGGTGGTTCTCGAGGTTGAAAGGCTCAACGTTACCTAGCAGTGGGTGCTTGCAGCCTAGAAGGCCAACTGCATCCTGGGCTGCCTCAACAAAGGAGAGGCCAGCAGGTGGTATGCAGTGATTGTCCCCCTGCACTCTACCCTTCTGAGGCCCCACTTGGAGTGCTGCAGCCCAGCCTAGAGGCTCCAGCACAAGAAGGATGTGGATCTGTTAGAACTGGTAAAGAGGAAGACTACAAAGATGATCAGAGGGCTGAAACACCTCTCCTATGAAGAAAGGCTGAGAGAAGTACGGATGTTGAGCCTGGAGAAGAGGAGGCTCCAGGAAAACTTTGCTGCAGTATTTCAATAGGTTGGATCTTAGGAAGAACTTCTTTACCGAAAGGGTTGTTAGACACTGGAACAGGCTGCCCAGGGAAGTGGTGGAGTCACCATCCCTGGAGGTCTTTAAAAGACGTTCAGATGTAGAGCTTAGGGATATGGTTTAGTGGGGACTGTTAGTGTTAGGTCAGAGGTTGGACTCGATGATCTTGAGGTCTTTTCCAACCTAGAAATTGTGTGATTCTGTATGTAATATATAAAGGGGTCTTACAAAAAAGGATGGAGAGAGACTCTTTACTCTGGTAGATAATGATGGAACAAGGGAGAATGTTCTTAAACTAGAAGATGATAGATTTAGATTAGATAATTAGATATGAAGAAGAAATTCTTTCCTGTAAGGTTAGCGAGGCCCTGGAACAGGTTGCCCAGAGCAGCTGTGGATGCCTCATCTCTCAAAGTGTTCAGGGCCAGGTTAGATGGGGCTTTGAAACTTGCCTAGTGGCAGGTATTCCTGCCCATGGCAGAGGGTTGGAACTACATGGTCTTTAAGGTTCTTACATTTAGGAAGACTACACTGTGTTTCTGGCACTTGCGGGACCCATGTTACCAAATAGTATTTGTTTTGAAAAACAGTATAAAATATTCTGAAGCTGCACTCAAAATCTATAGATCTTTTCTAAAAATTGTAATTCACTGTAACACAGTAAAATGTTCTGTCTTCAGATGCTGAAAAATCATTTGAAAAAAGAACAAACAAATGTGCTGTTTTGTTTTCTTCCCGTGACTTAGTGTCTTGGACTGTAAAGCTGTAAATGCAAGCCTAGAAAATCTAACTGCTGTTTGACACATCTATCACCCAGAGAAAAAAAATAGAAAAAAGTTAAAAATCAAATAATAAGTTACATATAGAAAGGTTTAATTAACCAAAGTTGTAAGTGAAATTAATATGAAATTTAAGGTAATTCCCTGCCTCAAACTAGTTTTACACAGATTTTGTTCCCAGGGTAGTACAATTCAGACTTCTGCTTGCTATTATACAAATCTCACATCTTGTACAACACTTGTGTCATATAATAGCAGCAAAAGGATTTGTACCAATTCCTCTGGTTTTATTCACCCATTGGAGAATAAAACTTTTTTTTTTTTTAAAACAAGGCATAACATTTTTTAACATATCATAATGTAAGTTTTGTCATAAAGTAAAGAAATACATTTTATTTATTAAATTTGTTGACTGATCAACAGTACTTTGTAGCTCTGCTCCTTGTTCCTAGCAAGGTTAATTTAAGTGTGAGAACCAAAGGCAAAGAAACGTGATCAGCTTAGACTTCACTCAGAATTCCTTCAGCAAGGAAACACGAATCTTTTTAAAATATTGATAAAGAATGTCATTTTTGAAAAGGTGAATATCAGACTGTTAAATAATGAAATATTTTAAATGAAGAAAAACACTTTTCATTTATACATGTATACATATTTCTACAACCTTAAGAACATCATGAGAGCTTTGACAATTCCTTCCCTCCCCCTTACCGCTGCTTGTAAGCATTCTTATCTTGAATGTGAACTCTGTTTCACTGGAGTCTCTTGCTTAGAACAAAAGTTGTCCCAACATGCACAATCCTCAGGTGCCATTGGAATACCACATGCGACTAAATCTTCAAAAGTCAATAATGTAAACTGTGGTTGATTAGGTTCCGTGGAACACACCTACAGAAAACACAATTTTACATGAATTAGTATATCTCAATTTTTCTTCCTGCAACCTTTCCCATACAGTTTAAACAGCATATTGTTACTGAATAAGAAAATATTACAGTTAATACCAACGTCACTGTCTCTAATTTAGGCTATACATTAACTCACAGAAACATGTAATAGGGCACACAGAAAAAGCAAGTTTTTATTTAAGACTCAGGTCAGAAACCTGAGAGAACAAGGCACAGGGAGTCCTGCAAACACCACAGAATGAATGTTTAAGTCCAGAAAAAGGAAAAACAAACTCCTCTGTTCTACAGCAGACATGATTATCTGAGATGATAGCATCAGGATTTATTCTAATAGAGGAATGCCTACCTGTATGCCTTTTAAAACCAGCAATCACTGGGGTTGTGCATGCATTCAGTCTCCTCCCAGAAACTCATGCTACTTAAGGACAAAAGCTGTAACAATCAACTCACAATTCCCAGTGCTAAATCCAGATTAAGCTCCGATATTGGAGATGAGTGAGTCATGGTCTCTCCATTAGTTTCAGCACTTCAAGGAAATTTGTATTTCAAAGAAAAACAGGCTTGTTTTTCTGAGCTTGTGTTACTGTGCAGTCTGCTGTATGCTACCTGCATGTGTAATTCCAGCAAGGCAAAAAGTACAGTTGCATGAATCTGACAGAGGCTATAAGTGCCTCTTCTAAATCAAGTCTACACACTATTTTTTTAAACAAAGTCCTTCCCAGCCCTTTTCTGAAATAGGCACAATAGGACTAAAGGTAACAGTCCAATGAATAACCTGGTTAACACTGTGGTTAAGGTAAGATTTATTTTCCTTGGCCCTACATCTGAGACTATAGACTTTTAAATATGGCATCAGGTTAAGTTTACGTTCAAGTGATTAGTTACGAAGACCTGCAAACATTTCTTAACTTCTTACATCAGAATGCTGCTGTCCATATCCCTCCTGCTTCCCAAGAGCCACTGCAACATGATGATAGTCATCTAACCGGGTTTCCTAGTAAAGACAAAAAACAGCAATGTAGAAACACTTCCTTTACTCTTGTTTCCATCAAAGACTATATTTACAGTCAGAATATGGTTCAGAACAACACCAAAGCATTATTTAAAATAATTTAAACTAATGACATTCAGAAAGCAATAGTTCTTCACAGGTTTGTTCAAGAGCTCAAGGATGCAAATACAGTTAAGCCAGGCTGAACTGGTTACTATAGGTTAGCATCATCTCTCTCCTTTGTAGACTTTTACATGCAGGTTTGTGACTTCAGTCTTCCTTTATCAGTCATCCCTTCTAAGTCACAAGACATACAACCTATTTTAACCACATGTTTTTTGATGAGATGAACTGTGAACATTCTCTGGAGGGTATTCTGAAGAGCAACAGAAGTATAAGCTTAAACCAGTGACTCTCTCACTCTTGGATCATGTAAGGCCACAACTGTCAATTTCTGACATGACAGTCTGAGCACTGCTCTGTGTTAATGTAACTCACTTTTCCACACACACACACACAAAATTTATAAATATGTAATAGCTATATTTTAATAGTATATATAATTTAATAATTTTGTTTAAAAGTCCTCTTCCTCCTCAGAAAGACTAACAGTTAATCCAAAACAATTTATTTCGAATGAATCTGCTTTTATATATTATTATTTCTGAATAATGTTTACTCTATGGTCAAGTCATAATTGTTGATTTATTTTTTTTTAATGAAGGGAAAAATGTTTCCTTTGGTTCTGTATCCAAAACTTTTCACACCATTTCTGCACAACCTTTTTAAAATGAAAATAAAGAATTGAAGAATTCTTGAAGGCAAGAATTTTACCTAGAAAAATGAACCATTTAGATGTCACCATTAATCTCAATGTCGGCTACTAGTCTGGTTGCTTTCTGGAGGTGTATGACTGAACTCATTTCCACTTCCTCAGGAAATACTCCAACGCACAATGTTATATGAAGAAAGCATCACGATGTCCTCCCATTCTTCTGGTAGGTGGTTGTTTGCCTTTTTTATTTTATCCAAGCAAAATGTCTTCTAAAATAATGCTGTCAGTCTGCCTCAGGCTTCCTACAGCTCATCTGCTATATAGCATTTTCAAAGATTTCAACTGCAAGAATACCATTTTTGTGATTCCCCAGTAGCCTTGTATATAAAACAGGCGCCAAGATGCTCAGCTCAGATCTACGCAGCCCAGCTCAGCCAAGACAGCAGCTGCTCTACTCATGTGTAGTAGCACAACTACAAGGCTGGGGGACTTTACTGGCAAAGATATGGGTGTCTTGGCAGATACGTGCTGGTGTGGGAGTATAAGTGTGTTTCTACTTCAGTCACTTCAGCACCTGAGTTGTGCGTATTTGATTGATTTAGCAGCAAACTTTGTCACTCACTTAAAACCAAAAACATCAAGCTCATGTTGCTTAGTCTTCCTGCAAGTGCTACTAAGAAAATGATTGATTACTTCAACTTTGTATCAGTAGAAATATTTGATGCCCAGAGAAAATGCCAACAAACCTGCAGTGTGAACTGTATTTCTTGTAATTGCAACAGCTATAGTTGTAGTTGCTATGAAGTATTTTATTAAGTTTTCTACTCCTTTAATACGTCACAAGACTGAAAATAAGCCAAGGATAAAAATGCTACCTCATCATCCATACATGTAACATACTTCTGTAACTTATTCAAAAAGCAACAAAAAATTGCCTATCAGATGTTTTATCAAGTGTTGGCAAACAATTTATAAAGCTTCAGGATGGCAATGTGCTGTGCTTATCTACATGGAAAAATCACCATATCCAGTTTTTATCACCTTAATCACCGCCCAACTTTTTTCTCAATTTTTGCCTGTCCAAGAGGTTGAAGACTGATGAGACTGTGCACACAGCACAGCACACAGTGGCCTACATCTGCAGGTCAAAGTCTGAAAACAGCTGCTACAGCTTTAAGCTAAATGTACGGAAATCTGCGTTTGTAGAGTGAACATTTATAGTTGCACAAACAAGAAATAATATAAGTATATATAACGTAAAGTCTCCTACACATTGTCAACAAAATCATTTTCTGTCTGCTCAAAGCATCGTTTAAACAGCAGGTGACTCTTTAGGTAAGGGGGACCATTCTCCTGCAGAGATCCCACCCAACGCATAGTTCAGTAGGCTCCTTGTCATTTAGTTCACATGTCCTCAGTACATTAGAGAACACAAAACAGCTCCCAGCATCTTATAATAAAACATAACAAACTAGGCCCTTCATCTTGTAAGCCCAGAAAAAATACAGAAGGGAACGAGATCTTTTCCGGACTCCTGCTAACAGCAGCAAAACCCTTATGTTATGGAGATAATGCAGCAGAGACCAAAAAAACCAAAAACAACCATCTTCCATATTCATACCCATACACCATCTTATAAATCAAATTCAACTTCTTACACAGAAATAGAAGATTAACCGAAAGAGCAGTACAGGAAACAAAAAGGACAGTACAGGAACTCCCCTGAGGCACAGGATTTGTTTTGTTAAGATACATTTGTTTTGTCTGTGAAACAGAAAACAATTTGTTTTTCTCTGAGGCAAACTTACTGGAACTGTTCCAACTAAAGACACAATGAGAATTATAATTGCCTCACTTCAAAGGCTTAACAGAATGATGTGTCTGGGATTCAAATCAGTCTGGGTTCACTCAACAGAACAGCTTATGAGAAAACTGCACCTCCAGTCAGAATTGATTGCTGTGTAAATCTGGTTGGATTAGCTAGTCTTGGGAACAAAAATTTTCATTCCTATTTATTCCTGACAATACAACAGAACGAACTTCTCTTACTGAGGGTGAAAGACTCTATTACTGCTGCATGCCAACAACAATTACCAAATCTGCTTCTAATTGACCCAGGTAATTCCAGTTTGAAATCCATGTTCTGGAAATAAGGTGTTTGCATACAGACAAGCCAAACAAATATTTGCTGTGAAAAAATGTGAACAATGATTCGTGCAGCAGCAGTGATGGCAGGTGATTCTCAAATGCTGACTGAAGTTTAGGACAAATGGAAGCTTCCTGTATGAACTGCCTATATGAAAACTGGGATGGGAAACTGGTTTGCTCCCTGTTTAAAATTCTTTAATAAAGGCTCCAGTAAGTGCTATCCAAACATCATTCCTGAGTAACAAAATTGTGACTAAAAAGTCACAAATGCACTTAAATTTTTGCATATCAGTAGCAAGATTTTTTTGCTATAGAACAAGTCTGCTACAGATACATATTGTAGACATGTATTTATCTCTTTAAACTATGAAATTTGCCAGAATTTTTATTGACCCACTTCCTTCACTTTTATTAAAATTAACTAGTACTTCATCCTGAAAGATTTTCTTCTTCAAAAAGTACTATTTAATAATATTAAAAATAAATAAAAAGAGTAATGACTCCATGCTAAATTAACAACCTCACACAAATACTAAATCGCTCTTCACTTGACTACAATATTTTTGATTGTTACTAAACAAATTATTCTTTTTTAAAATGAGCAAAGCATACACTACTTATATGAACAAATCATACTTAACACACAGATAGCAGACGTATCTTAAAACTTAATGTTTCTGAATGATGTTCTACTGTACTCTTTGTCCTATTACCTCACGAAGAGTTGAAGGTAATCCCATCCCCTTGAATGACTCCCCCATATTTCTCAAAATTAGTGTTTTCTAGTAACAAGTTACTTCAATAGTTTGGTTCAAGGCCAAATAATCAAATAAAAATATGAATACTGGTAGTAACAAAATGGACACACAATTTTTTCTTCTCCCAAGTGGTTTTTAAATGTAAAGTGATGCCTAATTTTAGGCTGGGATAGGTAACTGAAAAAGTGATTTTTTTTTCCAATTTCATTTTAATTAATGCTGATATTTGAAAGAAATTATACCCAACAGAGCTAATATTTTAAATTAAACTTGATAATAAATTCTTTCTTTGAGATACTACAACCTGCCTAGTTATAAGGCTGTGCTCTTGGGAAGTAGGAGGTGAACATGGGAGATGAGACATTCCTCAGACAAAAATTAAATTAAGCTTCTAGAAGTAATTATCGACTAATAGAGAAGAAAAAAATAAAGCATTTAAGTAATACAGGGAGTTATTTGCATTATCTACTTCAAGCCATTTCAGTCACTCAACAACCGGCATGCCACTGAAGACCAAAATTCGTAGATTCAGACATCAGTCAAAAGAGATAGATGCTTCTTTGACAATGAGTTAGCATTAATACAGACAACAGTCTTATTATAAGGAATGTCACAATCTTTTCTCTATATATTTTTTGTCAGTCTGTAATTCCCACTGGTGGATTTCATGACATGCTCAGTTCCTAGAGAGCATGGCAATATTAGAATGAGAACTGATTTAGCATGGGCAGACTTTTAAAGTAATAGAAATCCAAAGGTAACTAGAAATGCTGAAAGGAATGAAGTGTGAGGAAGTCATATCCGTAACATTTAACTTGTGGCATATTTATTCCTTTTTTTTTTTCCCCCTATAATTTATGTACTTTGTATACTACATAAAACCTGTACACACTAGAAAACTTATTTTGACAAACTCTATTGGGACAGTTGTGTCCAACAACATATATATTTTCAAAATGTAAATGTTTCAAAGCATACCGGAAGCTGAGTACTCAGATGAAAAGTGTGCTCAACTATTTTGTGAAATAGAATTGCAAAGTCAGTAGACAGCAAGCAATATGCCTACTGCACAAACTTAGAGCAGACAGAGATTGGGACAGCCTGGAGCAAGATGCCCCTTTTATAAGAATCTTTCAAGTCACGTCTTTTGCATTTCTTCTGTTCAGTGGTAGACGAAGAGTGCTCTCCAGGGTGCTCTTGGGATTAATTTTTTTTTTTTAAGCTTAATTTCTTAGGGCATTTAAATAATATAAGATCACAATACCTATCAGTTCTTTCTCCTCCCACCCCTCAAACCAAATGACCATTGGTCATTTTCGTGGATGTTTTACTAGCAAGTCTCAGTAACTTTCAAGAAAGAAAAAGCAAGCAAGGAAAACCACAATCAAACCCAAAAAGACTGAACCCAAATTGATGTTTCAAATAAAGACAATTTTTTTGCATTCCCACACACAACAGGCAGCCAGCACACCTTAACTCCAAACCCACAAAACCCCATTGCTTACTGTCCATACTAGCACGTAGAGAAAAATAAATACACCAAAGAGCTGAAGACACATTCTCCATTTCAAGCATTTAATGTAAATGCTAACTAATGGAGTTAATCACTAGTCTCATTCTCAACCAATCAAAGAACTTCAAAATTTTAGTCACTATTCAGGTCAGGCCTGAATACATTTTAATGCACTTCCTGCATGCTCTAAGATGTCCCGTAGAGTGCCAGAAAGGTATCTGAGGAACAGAAAAAATAAAGAGGCATCATAATGAATGTACTCTCTGGGGTGTTTTTGTGATCAGAAATATTTTTACATGCTGCTGATTTATATCCTTTGCTTTAATTTGTATCTTTGCAATGTGGTTATACAAAACAAAGGTGTGAAGCTGCAATTAAGGCATCAAATGTGCAATTTGATTAAGGCATTGAGACTGGTTGTTATTATTAAAAAAAATAACTTGAATATTTCTTACCTCAAAAGTCCACTCTTCTTCTTTATCTCCGTCCAGCAACATTTGTGTCTCCTTATACACCTTCCCTATTTCCAGTTGCAATGGAGACACATTAAATTCAATTCTTTGCAAGTTAAAGCCAATTCCAACTCCAATAGCCTTTAAGAAGCTTTCTTTTAGGGCCTATAACATAAAATGTTGTTTTCAGAATACGGACTGTTCATACTGGCTGTTGTCAACCAAACTTCTCTGTAAACACTACTTTGGAGCAGACAACGTAGGCCACATAAATTTAAGGCTTACACCACTGTAAATGTCAGGATAAACTGATCCAGTTAACAAGAAAAAAAAAGGTATCAGCCTTGTTATTCCTAAGTTATTGTGTAATAATGAACAGGCAACTAGAATTACTAATGGTACATACAGATAAGAACCCTTTACCTTGTTCTCTGTGTGTGTTTAAAATTAGTCATAAATCCTAGAAATGTCATCTGTGGTAGTGTTCTTAAATTTACTCTGACACTATAAAAGATAACCTCCACATGATCATGTAACTCTAGAAGTATACAATTTTATCATAATGAAAATAATAACAAAATAGGAATTTGCAGGTTATTGCAGTTGTTAAATAGAGAAGAAATACATTACCCAGTGCCGATGAAACATATCCAGCTGCATCCATTCATTATTCATAGATTTGATTACACCCCACTCTGTCTCAGTAAACTGTCGCTTCATGATGTGAAAGAAATTTGGAATTGAGCTGCTACCTAGAAGTTAGAAAAAATATTTACAGAAATGTTAATAGAACAATAGTAAGTAAATAAATCACCTCATGTTACTGCTATAAAAAAAAAGGTCATTCATAACAAAACAAGAACCAATTCTGCTCTAAAATCTGAATTTACTCTACATAGCCTCAAAGCAGTGAGCAGATATTGATGACATTTCAGGACATAGTATTAGAAGGAACACTCTGGTAGCAGAATTACTACATAAAAATGTGATATGAGTCAAACGTATTTTGTATTTTCAGCAATCTCTGAAAAAGACAGTATTTGACCAGTTCTGAATTCATACAAATATATATATATATATATATATATTCAACATTCTACAAAACAAGCATATACAATCTTCAATATTTGACAGTTTGATCTAGTAACACTTTATACAACAGCATGCTGTTTGTCAAAATTCACCAAGCTATTCTGCCTCCTGTCCTTTGACGGTGGGAGTACGAAAGAAACACTTCTTAAAGCACATGTAGAAATAGTCTCCCAAATTTATCACAGGGAAAAAAAAAAAAAAAAGGAAAAAAGCCTTAAATACTTAGATTAAATTTAAGTATCCCACAAAATAAGCACAGCTGTGTACTGTTGCCACAGCTTTTCAGGGACTACACCACTTTTCCCTACTAGTTGGGATTTACTTCACAGTAGACACTACAGATTGTATGGTTATATTGATCAACAACATCTCTACAATGCACTGGAAAGTATGGACCTCATTACACACTTGACTAATGACCCAAAACCTGTATCATTAATCAGTATTCCATATAATCTGTCCAACATGGCTTACAGCTGGTTAAACAGACAATGGCACCAAGCAATCTATTTTCTTTATCTGGGATGATCAAAATCTGGATAGAGACAATTACACATATTGAGACAAATTTTTTGTAGGTAATACAATATTCATGTTAAAGAGAAAAAAAAAAGTTGTATTTAATGCAAAACAATCTCACCTCCCTGACTGAAAGGCCACTCTTAATCCTTGATAGGTCATGGTGACAGGAAGAAGTGTCTGAAGACTGGAAGAAAAAAAAGTCACTCCTACCAAGAAGAAAGACTCAGGGAACTACAGGCTAGTCAGCTTCACCTCAATCCCAGCAAAAAGTGGTGGAACAGCTAATCCTGGAAACCATTTCCAGGCACATGGAAGAGAAGAAAATCATCAGAAATCAGCATGAATTCAAAGGGCAGCCATGGCTGACCAACTTGCTAAGTTTCTACAATAAAGTCATCAGCCTGATGCATGAGGGGGAAGCAGGGGATACTGTCTTCCTAGACTTCAGTAAGGACTCTGTCCCCCGTAAGATTCTCACAGAGAAGCTGTCAAAGCTTCCAGGTGAGCAGTGAGGTGGATCAAATACTGGCTGGATGGCCAAATCCAAAGGTGCAAAGTCTAGTTGGAGCCCAGTAACAAAAGGAGTACCCCATGGGTCAGCACTGGGTCCAGCCCTGTTTAACATGTTCATTAGCAATCTGGATGATGGGGGTAGAGCACACCCTCAGTAAATCCACAGGTGACACGAAACCAGGAGGAATGGTTGATGCATCAGAGGGCCATGCTGCCATCCAGAGGTACCCTCACAGGGTAGAGAGGTGGGCTGACAAGATCCCATGAAGTTCAACGTGGAGAAGCGCAGAGTCCTGCCCCTGGGGAGGAACAACCTCAGGCCCCAGGACATGCTGGGGGCCACCCAGCTGGAAAGCAGCTCTGCAGAGAAGGATCTGGGGGTCCTTGTGGACACCAAGCTGAACATGAGCCAGCAATATGCCCTTGCCACAAGAAAGGCTACTGGTATCCTATTCATCCTATAGATGAAGTGTTGTCAGCAGATCAAGGGAGGCAATCCCTCCCATCTACTCAGCACTGGTGAGGCCATACGTGGAGTGCTGGGTCCAGTTATGGCCCCCCCAGTACAAGGGACACATGGAACAACTGGAGAGAGTCAAACAAAAAGCCACAAAGATGACTGAAGGGACTGGAGCACCTTTCCTATGAGGAAAGGCAGTGAGAGCTGAGACTTCTCCCCCTGGAGAAGAAAAGGCTTGGAGATGGCGGTGGAGATCTTACCAAAGTCTACAAGTGACTGAAGGGAGGGTGCACAGAGGACAGAGCCTGGCTCTTTCCAGTGGTGCCCAGTGCTAGAGCAAGAGGCTATGGGCACAAACTGGGACAAAGGAGGCTTGGTCTAAATATTAGGGACCACTTTTTTTTTTTTCCCCCATGTGTGTGTCTGTGTGTGTCAGTGATGGAGCCCTGGCACAGGCTACCCAGAGAGGCTGTGGGGTTTCGCCCTTGGGGATCTCCAAAAGCCACGTGGGTGAGGTCCTGGACAGCCTGCTCTGGGTGTCCCTGCTTGGGCAGGGGTTGGAACAGGCCGCCAGAGGTCCCTTCCTACCTCAGCAAGTCTATGATTCTCCCAAACAATACACTACTTCTGAAAATTCATCACTAAATTATCACTTAATGAAGACGCAGATGCTAACCCTAATTCTGTCAATGATTCTGTGAATGACCAGGGGCAAGTAACTTCCCTTCTTTCTATCAGTGTTCCCCAACTTAAACCAGGGATAAAGATATTAAACCTCCTCTATAAAGTAGTCATCTTCTACAAGCATCTAAGCACTATATATAAAAGATACTGGCTGCAGTAATACTTGATCTGGCAGAATTAGTGTGACACTAAAGCAGAGATGCAGGTTTTCTGAAAATTTCCTTTCCATGTCATATTTCAAAATGAAACCTGACATACTGTATATATCATACAATACATGACAGTGACATTTTAGAGATGCCCTTAATTTCCTTTATAGACTACAGTGGAAAATAACATCTTAACTCAGAAATTACGTTGACAGTTGCAGTAGCCAGCTAATGGAATGATCCAGAACAATCTCAGGACAGAACTAATGGTTACTTTCAGGAGAAAAAGATGATACTAAAAAAGAAAAGCAACCACAATGCCAAGCATGTCTTGATGGATGACCAAGGCACAGGAAACATCTATCTGCTTTGACACTCCAACTTCCTTGAAACAATGAAAAATAACAACAAAAATATCTTCAACTTGGAGAAAGGTCTTTCATCTTGCTGAGTTTAAATGGCCTGTTTTTTGTGATCAAATGACTGTACTAAAACATGCTCTAAACTCTTTTTTTCTTCCTTTTCTTCTCTCAGGTATTTAAGGGGAGTGTAGTGGTGCACCTGCTTCTTCAGATAAATTATGAAACATTCAAAACATGAATGCACTTCATACTTAAACTGTTTAGCATACCAAGTGTATAGCACACTCATGCAGTACTGCCTTTTCTCTCCTTAATCCTTTTTTTTTTTTTTCCTAGATTTCTTCACCTGTTCAACTCCTGGATCCTCATGTTCAGATTTACACAGTGAGCTGCTGCTCCCCAGCTCTGAAAAGCTCAGGCTCTGCTTTCCTCTGAAATGCCCTCCCCTCCAGTTTCCTTCTTTATAAAGTATAGTCATTTTTCTCTGAGGAATGGATCAGATTACAGGAGCCAGGGCTCTTATTCTCAAGAAATTGCTAGCAGTACTACAGCCTGCCTTGTCTGTTTTTCCATATCGGTTTGAGTATCAGAGGCAGATTTACAGAATCACGGAAAAATTTAAGTTGGAAAGGACCTCTGGAGACAGTCTGGTCCGATCTTCTTTTGAAAACAGGGCCTTATACTATCCAGAGCCCTGTCAAGCAGGGCAAACATTTCCTGGCAGCCCACAGAGGGGACCAAGGTGGAGCAGGTTGCTCTCCTGCTGTCCATGCAAGACCGCATCACAGCGGATACACACAGTGCTGCCTGTGGAGGGGACTTCTGTCTTTCTCACCTCCCTACTGTATTTCTAATCAGTAATAAATAAATCTTCCCCACATCAAGTCTGTTTTGTTCATGCTAGTAACTGATGAGTGATCTCCCTGCCCTGACCTCAACCCATGAGCATTTTCCATCTTATTTTTCCCCCATCTCATTGAGGAGGGTAGGTGGGAGAGCAAACCCACCACATCTCTCACAACCTGGGAGTTGAGGAAGGAACAAAGCTAGAAGCAAACTTCAATATTTATCCAAGAGCAAACTCTAAGAGAACTTTATTTTAAAGAAAGATCTATAAACTGTAAGATCATGAAACATATGAACTGACAATAAATTAGAAAACCAGATTCTCTGAAGGAACAGATAGCTTTGCTGTAGAGCACACATACAATAGAAATACCTCCAGGGCTATTTTTTTTTTTTTTTTTTTGTCTTTATGGATTAAATGAAAAGCAGTAAGGCTAGACTTTCATTGGGAATTAAGTAACCATATCCCTATTTCTTATTTAGCTCTCGGTAGTAAATAAAAAGGGTTCCTGTAGGACATGCCTATATAGTTTGTAGAAAATTGCACATCTGATCTGCCTGTGCTTCTTAACATCCACACATTAACAAGCTCCCGAGCAGAAGCCACACAGCTGGGTTCCGAGTCCTTTGTAACATAACCCAGCACTGCTTTCCCAGTGATCAGGGTTATCAAAACAAAACCACAACAAAACACACTTGTTGAGAAGAAACATTAGCTGGGAATTCAACTAGGTGGAAAAACTTCACTAACAGCACTTTAAATGCTCCTTCTTGTAATTCATAGTTAGAGCTACTGAAGAATCAGAATCCAACACAGTTAAATTATTCTTGTCCACCTCAGTGGCAAGTCTGATTTTTTTCTTCCCCTGTAACGTAAATCACTTATTTAAATTGGTTGGCATCAGGAAACTGTACAATACTTATCTGATTGGTTGGGGCATCTAACTAGGTGGGGGATCATCACAGAACAAACTAATTTTTGTGATTTCAGGAATAGGTAAGACAGATAAGACATTGGCATACAAGATTTGAAAAATAAGAAAAATAAGTGTAGTTGGAAGCAGGGAAAACTGGTAAGCGAGTTCAATGGTTGGTTTTGATTAATGGGAAAAGATCCTTGTACC